GGATTGCTTGTCTAGGTAGACTTTACAATAAATACATATTATGACCCAAACATGTGCATCTGACATGCATGATGTGCCGTGGTGCAGCAGGCTGTGCTATGAGAAACGCTGTATGGCGAGCTGCATTTGCCACCTGGTTCAGCTCTGGCTTTACCCGATCGTCCTTCACCGGTAGCGATCATATCGCAGGTAGCACAAGGTCTGACTTATACAACACCAAGCATAGAAAAAATAACACAGATATCAAATCTTTGTTTTGCCAAAAGTGAATTTAGTTTCACATGACAAGATTCTGCCACACTGCCCCAAAGTGCCAATCCTAGAGTTCGCGAGCTCTTGGGGCCTTCTTTCCTCTATTTCCAGACTTGTCTACAAACAAACTGATCTACAGTTTGAGTACCTAAACAGGCTAGTTTCCGTCCGGGATTTCCTGTCTAAGTATTCAAACTGTAGATCAGTTTGCTTGTTGACAAGTCTGTCTATTTCAGTATGGTAGAACCAACCGACTTTCCTCATACGAAAGAGCCTGAAGAGTCAGGAAGCATGGTGGATATTTATCGCAAAGCCTATTTATTCAAAATCTTGTTAGAATCCTTCCGGATGACCTGCTTCACTCTGCTAGAGGCGTTAATTGGTTCAAAAGCGGGCTAGACTGTACTGAGCTGACCGGTCACAGGCACTAGTCCGGATAGGATAACGTTCATCTCGAAAACACACACTTATTGGGTAGGAATCCAGATTATCATGTATTCAAAAGAGTCAAGGGCTCAGCCGCGAAAAAGAGAGATCAAGAAATTGGAAGCAAAACACATTTTAAGCCGAATATGGAAAGCACTAGGTGGAAAGAGGACAATGCTTGATGACTACTCAGTGTTACACGGAGGCGTTGTACTGCTCTTTCCTGGTCCGCACTAAGGCAGGTAAGCCTCATGTCGTTGGTTCCGCATGGGTTGTCTGGCGACTAGGTGGAATAGTAGGTATTTGGAAGAACAATCCAATTGTCGGATCACAGATATCAACGACATCTCAGCCACGCGATCGGCCGCACTAATCTCGGCCACGCGAGCAGGCGCACTGATACCAGTCACGCGGACAGGCGCACTGATCGCGGCGTCCGAGCAGCGCTCAGACCAGACCTCCTATATCTAGCTCTTCCATAGTTCCCCTTCGCAAGACAATGAATCAGAACCACCGAACAGAATGCATTACTAGTTATCGTTATTTCCCTTTACGCACTTAGTGCAAAGCCAACCAACACCAATTCTATATAAACGATAAAATAACTAATATCAATCTAGGTAAGAGATGAACTATTTGAAGTTGACTACAACGAGCGTATAAAGGGAATCCTCCACGACTATATACTTGTTGCTTTGTCCGAGTGTCATCACTGCCATCTCTTGATTAAGCCCTGCTTCACGGATGGTTGTGATGGCGGCCATCCCATCCTTGGCGGGATGGCCCCTCTTGGCGGGATGGCTGTCATGTGATCTAAGCGCCCCGCGCTGATCATTACCTTCTGACGTGGGCATGTTGACCTTCGACCTTGCGCCCACCGTCAAGGAGAAAATCCTTCCTGTTACTTGTAACACTCAGCCCCTTTGAGGTTTCCTAGACGGTCCACTTAGAACTATAAACGTGTTCTCCAGGTAGGAATCCTACGCTACCTATTCTTAGCGCTGGCGAACTAAAGGGAACAACCATTGATTACATAATATTGACGAGAACTCTATTAACCTTAGCAGTCCCCAAAACTAACCGTATATCATCTTAGTGACGTAGATAATGCTTATGCGTGAAGAGTATTATTCGACGCGCTTTAGCTGCTGACGTATTAGACACGTGACCAGGTGTTTGATCAAGGGTTCTCGTAGGACAAGAAGATCTAATACTAATATATCAATCTAAACATTCGCACCTCACTGCTATGCCTTGTCATCAACACCTAGTTCCAGACAACATTCGCAATTCACAATAAGTCGGGTGATGTCTGAGAGATGAGCTTAAGACCTCGTCCGGAAAACCTTCTTCTATCATAGTTGCCATACTCGCAAATGAAAATTAGTTACTACAGTACTTAGGGAAATAAATACCTAGAACTTCTTGGTGCCAAGCCCTGCTAACACCACTCCTCGATTAGTGTTACCAGTCCAACGTTGAGATTGGGACTTATGTTGCAACACAAGATCCTGTTAATGTAAGCAGCAATACAAAAAGAAATGCTCGATCGTTTGTTTTTTTCATTACCCTGAACATCTGCAATCTTGCTTTTATCTGCGCACTTTTCCCGTGAGTGAAACCGCCATCCGCAAGCCTGAGCTTGACGAGCTGTTTGCTTTGCACATTCTATGAACCATTAATATGAATCACGAAAGATATAAGCAATGGCCAATGCTACCTCTTCGACGGTCTTGTCCACAATGTAGCGCACAATCGTTACTGGGTTTTGCTGGCCCAATCTTACCACACGTCCGATAGCCTGATGCTCAACTGAGGGATTCCACTGAGGCGCTAAGATATGTACTCTATTTGCAATGGAAAGACTGTTAAGGCTAAACAGCGTCAGTGAGATTGTTCGGGGCTTCGTTTATATTCGCACATACCCAACAGCTCCGGTTCCGAATGTCATCAGCAGAACAGATATATCATTTCTGCATTTGAAGTCGTTCAATATTGCCTTCCGTTTGTTGAATGGCACAGATCCGTCTACACGTACGAACGATACGTTGTTCACGGTGAGAAGAGCAGCAACCATATCCAGTGAACGTTTCCAGAATGAGAAGACGATACTGTTTTCCGTCAGTGGCACGCAGGCAGAGATGTCAACAAGCAAGTCAAGCTGACTGGATTCTTATCGATTGCAGATCACAGACCATTCTCTGGGACGTGCC